GGGAAAATAAGAGATGTGTGAAGTCATGGAAAAAGCTTTGAAAAAAAGTTGGGTTTGACTCCTTTACAATGATAAAACCTTTTGCTATAAAAAGTCTACTTCAAGTGGCTGAATCAAGGCTGAATTTCTAAAAAGACGATTTTACCCCTTTCTCCTTGGCTACTTGTTTATATGGCTTTGTGACATGTTTCTTCACGATGTGAAATATTGTTGCATCGTAAATCGTATTATAATTGTGTATATTTATTTATTTTTCATAGTGAACAAGAAGGAGTATTAATCAATACTAAAATCATAATTTCATTTTATTGTCTTTAGTAACCTTTTAAAATTCAAAAGCACTTGAATTAAAAACAACCAAGAAGACGCATGTTGTTTGTTGATGGAGTACACTAGAGTGAGTAAATTGAAAGGGTCCATCTTCCAAATTTGGCGGAATCATAACTCTTATGGTTTGTGAGTTTTGACTTTTGAGTAAATATGGAATTATTGCGATATTACCTAAGACCCATTGAAAAGGGCAAAACCCATTGAAATGATACTATCCTTGTTATATATTTTAACACGGAAATCGGGCGAGTGGATCTCATTCGCGGCGATTTCGCCAAAGCAAATCGAAAACCGTCCATCGCCGCTGCTCAACTTAGCCTCTCCGGCGTACGGTTTTGGCCGTTGCCGTGAGAGGGCAATCATCTTCCTTCTCTTCCCCTTCTGTTACGGGTCCGTAGGATCCTGCTCGCCCTTCACCTACGCGTTTTGTCCGGCATCGCACGGTGAGCGGCCGGAGTGACAGGTCGTGGCGGCCGCGTCTGGGAGCGAGGGAATCTCTACCGTCACCATTCTGCTTGTCGATGGCGAAGGGTTGTCGTTCTCGGGGAAGCGCAAATTCCCAACTCCCGCCTCACGACTTTCGACCGTCTGATCTACATGGTAGATCTTTCCCTGGCCTTGCGAGCCCGCGGATGGTTGATTCTGCTTTCGGCTTGGAGCGACTTCTATAGACTGTATGGAAGCTTCTACCATCTTTGGCGGTCTCGCTTAGATCCATTCTTGGGTTTGGATTCGCCGCCGTACTCGGGGATCCTCTGGTGGTACGACTCTTCCTGTTTCAGTCTCTTCCGATTGAGGATGGCGGAGGCTTGCGGAAGGCTGCTCTCTGTCTTCACCAAATTCCCCTTTGTTAGCTCCTTCGGCTGGGTCTACGAGTCTCCCACTCGCTCTTTTGGATTGGGCTCTCGGATGAGGCTCGCTCCTATCTGCGATTGGGTCCTCATTCTCTTAGTCTCGTGCGGTCTGAGTTTGATGCTTTACAAGGTTCCGGGTGGAAGTAATGGGCTCATCTTCCGTCGATTAAGCTTGGGATTTGGCTCACTTGACTTTTGGCTCGACCGTGGGCAGCGGTAGTCTCCTCAGGTTAGTTGGCCATGGTTGCATCCCAAGTGTGAGATAATTGGTTTGTTTTGAGCTCTGTTTCTCCCCTTTGTCCTGCGGTGTTGTTGTCTTAGTTTGAACTAGGCTTCCGGTGGTGGCTATAGGCCTCTCTTTGAACTGTTTTACCGTATTCGAGTGGTGTGGGTAGGGCTGGACCAGTTGTTGTTTGTGTCCTCTTTTTGTGGTTGTGTTGTTAGGTTGGGCGTTGGTTAAGTGTTGAGGATCGTACGGCTTAGCTCGGGCTCTAGAGGAGCTAGTAAGATCAAGGTTTTCGGAGTGGTATTTCATTTATTTAGCTAGCTTTGTACTTGCCAATGTTGTTGGAAGGGGAAACTCGCTCCGATCATTTCTTGATGTGAGGTTTCTCCTTGGAGCCAGCTCATGGTTGCAGGATTCTAGTCGCTCTCTCTATACGTGAGAGGAGTTTGGGGATCGAGCATTGTGAAACCTTCTCTGTTGACAACTTCATGTCGTTGGGCCTCTTTGAACAGCTTCTAAAGCCTCGAGTTATGTTGATTGCGGTTCTCGGGCTATGCCTCCTCTCTTCTCTTCGCCAACTGATCTTAGAGGAGCATCTCGACATCGTCATCACTTCGCCTTGCTCCGTTACCTACGGGTCAATGTTGAGCGGCGAACTGAAAATCGTAAAGCTTTATGATCTCCATGTTTTACTTTTTTTGCCATGGACTCATAATCTAGGTTTGTAATTGGCAATTGTAAACCTAAACTTATTTATTATCAATGAAATATTTATCTTTTAG